AGGGACGACAGATACGAGAGATCGGACCGAGACGGATATAGGGACGACAGATACGAGAGATCGGACCAAGACGGATATAGGGACGACAGATACGAGAGGTCGGGTCGAGATGGCTACAGAGGCGGTAGGTATGAAAAAGGAGATCGGGACTGGAAACGACGAGATGGGTCGCGCGGACGGTTGGAGCGCGGGGGAGATGCGAGAGAGCAGCGCGGCGAGTCGTGGGGGTGGTACAACCGAGGGGACCGACGCGATGAGTCACGAGGGCGATATGACTCGGGGGACCGTCGGAATGATTCGCGAGGGTGGTATGAGCAAGGAGGGTCTGGAGGAGACCGCCGCAACGATTAGCGCGGTCGGAATAAGAGAGGGGGATATGGTGTTTCATTAGAACCATATCCCAAGTCGCCTGACCCCAAGGCAGCCAGGATTTCGATCTCTAGAAGCGCAGACGACAGGCCATCTACTCCCAGGAACTCATGCGTCTACTGTAGAGGAGAAGATCATATCAAGAGGGATTGCCCGGACCTCAAACGGGCAATAGATGAGGGACTTGTCGTGCTTGACGACCGCAAGTACGTCAAGTGGGCAGATGGTCTGGGAGATGTATCGATGTTCCCTTCTATGAAGGAGAATATCGAAGCAAGGAGAGTAAAGTCGAGTAAAGGAGTCGGTCAGGAGCCAGAGCATCAAGATAACCTTTGAGGGGGATATGGCGACCACACCCATAAGGGTGGCAGCCACCAAGTCGTCGAGAGGGTCTACATCGAAGAAGACTGACACGGATTACGTGATGGCGGAGAAGGACGGGCAGCGGGTCGATGGAGAGGAGGTTATCCTTTCGCGGCGAAAGTGGGGAGTGAAGAAGTTCTTAATGAAGAGTTCGCTGGACGAGATTGACACAGTCGAGCCACTGAGACGGGCCCTTCGGCAACCCATGCAGTGCTCTATTCTGGAGTACCTGGCGGCATCGAAGCCGGCTCGTGATGAGTTACAGATGATCACGCGGAAGACTCGCATACCTCTATCGGAGGAGGGTCAGGGGGCCCCTAAGGCGGAAGTTTCTACAGTAGCAGTAATGGGGGTGACTGCCAGAGCGGATCGCATGGCGACAGTCCTTCTTGATGGAATGGAAGGTGTGTCTCTAGACAAGTTTTATATACTTGGCAGCGGGGCCGTGGAGACGTTTATAAACGATGGAGCGGTACTCGATGCTGTGATCGATAACGACAGTGAGGCTGTCATCATAGACGAGGACCTGGCAGTACAGGTTGGACTGGGCCTCGAGAGGTCATACCTATTCGAGATAGAGACGGCTGATGGGAGAAAGCAACAGATCACTGGGGTTTGTCACAAGGCAGCCATAGAGGTCCAAGGGGTACGAGTGACCCTGCCTGTCTTTGCAGTCAAGAACTGCAGCTCCGACCTGCTCTTGGGTCGAACGTAGCTGAGCCACGTGCATGCGGTGATGATAGAGCGACCTCATGGGAGCCAAACAAGACCCAGTGATCAAATTAAGTCATTACCTATCTCCGGCCGCGTGGTGTGATTTCGCGAGAAGAAATATGGACCACTGCTCACAGAGGAAGAAGGTCGGATCGTGGAGGTGGAAGATTTAGGGAGTCGGCTAATAGTGGACGGCAACTCGTACCCAAAGGAAAAAGATGAGGAATTTGGCGGTGTGGTATCCGTGTCTTTTTTAAGGGCACGGCCCCCTATGGGGGGCTACCCAAGCGACACAAGCGAGTAGCTCAAAAAGTTAAGCCAGCGACGGTGGGCCGCGAGCGATCTACACTGGAAGGGATATCGGAAGAAAAAATCGCGAAAGAAATCAAAGAAAGAAAGAGAAAGGAGCAGCAACGCCTAACGGAAGAGAGGATAGCAGGGATGGACATCGGAGATGGGAGTTTGACCCCACAGGAGCGAGAACGTATGATAGAAATCCTGAAGACATGTGATAAGGCCATAGTTTTTAGTGACGCGGAGCGCGGTAGGGTTGACCCTCGATACGCTAAGCCAGCAAGAATTTACACGATGCCACATGTTCCCTGGAATGACGCGGGATGGAAATACGCCCAGAAGGAGAAGGAAGAAGTTATCGCTTTCCTGAAAGAAAAGATGGTTTCCCATGTTGCGGAGCCGTCTGATAGCGCTTATGCTAATCGATGGTTCTTCCTACGAAAGCCGATGGATCCAGAACCTTCAGAAGGTCAACGCGGTGACGATACGAGACGTGGGCTCCGTGCCACACGCCGATTTACTGGCAGAAGGTGTCGCAGGTAGATCGATTTATTCGGTCTGTGATCTGTTCTCAGACTATGATGAGGTGCCACTTGACCCTAGAGACAGACACCTCACCGCTATGCATACGCCATTGGGACTAATACAGATGATGGTTGTCCCTATGGGTTGGACTAATGGGGTAGCCATTTTTCAGAGAGCCATGGTAGCCGTCCTCAAGGACTTCATCCCTGATAAGGTTGAAGTTTTTCTGGATGACTTTCCTATAAAAGGGTCAGTAAACAAGGATGAGGCAGAGGTTACACCTGGAGTTAGAAGATTCGTCGAGCAGCACCTAACGGATATTTGCGCGGTACTCGAGCAGTTGGACGATGCGAATCTAACAGTCAGCGGAACAAAGAGCCGATGGGCCGTCTCGACTATTAAGATATTGGGATTTATATGTGACTCGAGAGGATGCCGAGCAGATCCGGCGAAGTTAGACAAACTTCTGAGTTGGCCGTCACCTTTACATAGCCCAACCGAGGCCCGGCAGTTTCTGGGAGTGGTCGATTACTGGCGTATATTCATACGGGGGTATGCGGAGAAGGCTGAGCCATTGAGGTTACTCCTTCGAAAGACTGAAAAATTCTACTGGGATTCTTCGCAGGAACTTGCTATGCAAGAACTTAAAGACGAATTTAAGGAGGGATGACACGTGTTGGGCATGCCATTCTTTGACAATGAGACCGAGAGACCCTTCATAGTATCCACGGATGCTGGACCATGTTCAGTAGGTGGTTTGCTGTCTCAGAAGGACGCGGGAGGGAAAGAGAGACCGTTAAGGTTTGAGAGTAGAACACTTAATACGGTTGAGCGTAACTACAGTCAATT